TCTTTAAACAATAGGATAGACCAGTTTCGGGAGCTGTCAATAATGTTAGTACTAGAAAATATTAAACCTAATTTATTACTTACATTACAGACGACATTATCATTTTCAAGTATACCATGTAATCCTAAGACATATTGGAATGCCTCACAGTTTTTAACATGATCAAATATAACACTATCAGATCGTGAAGCATGTTCTTTAAGTCTGGTTATTAAGCACCTATCTGTCTTACCAATATAATCACTATTGCAGCCTGGACATTTAAAATGATAGACAACAGAACTTATTAATATAGAGAAAGTTTTACCTGACCATTTTCAAGAGTGGAAAAACTTGAATTTTGAATAACTTTAAAGTCATTAAAAAACACCTGAGAAGTCGAGAAAGCTCCTTTCCCACCATCTAGAAAACAAGAATTTCCCGAGAGAGGACTTCCGGACCCCCTTACATTGTTTATCGATTCAAAGAAAAAAGTATAAGTGTGCAACTGCTCAATTTTTTTTTATGTATATACAGTACACACACACACACACACACACAAACAAACAGAATAGTCCTTTTTTCCTGTAATACAAATAAAAAAAAGTTTAATAATTACTTGACCTTTTTCAAGACGGGAAAAACCTTGAATTTTGCAGAACTTAAGTCATTAAAAGACATCTCAGAAGTCGGGAAAGTTCATTTCCCGCCTCCTAGAAAAAACAAAATTTTCCCAGGAGACGACCCCCGAACCCACCACCCCACTTTCTTTTTCGGCTTTAACGATCCATGGAAAAAAAAGAATACCATGTATATAAACAGTACTCATTTTTTTATGTATACAATAAATAAAATAAATAGCAAGCCCAGTTGGCTGCCTAATGGAAACATCTAGGTCAGTTTCCAATATTGTATACAATAAATATAATAAACGGCAAGCCCAGTTGGCCGCCTAATGGCAACATCCAGATCTGCAGTTTCCAGCTTTGTATACAATAATGAAATAAATAAACGGCAAGCCCAATTGGCCGCCTAATGGAAACGTCCCGGTCAGTTTCTAACATTGTATACAATAATTAAATTTTAAAAAAACAGCAAGCCAAGTTGGCTGCCTAATTTAAACATCCAGGTCAGTTTCCAATATTGTATACAATAAATCAAATCAACAGCAAGCCTATAAGTGGCTGCCTGATAGAAACATCCAGGTCAGTCCCACATTGTACTGTTTATACCTAATAATGAAATTAAACATTATGTAAAAAGATAGGCCCAATCACCCTAAATTAATTACTCAACTAGGCCTAATCATAAATGCTATGAAGTGAACTAAAATGAGAAAGGACAAACATGTTTTTGTGTTTGTGTACATGGGCGTCGACTGGTGGTAGACGGAGGTAATACATCCCTTTTAACATTTCAAAGTGAGGGGACATAATACCAGATCTCTCCTCGCCCCTTCACTTTTCAGTAAGCGTCTAGATTGAAAAGATACCGATATTTTTGGAATTGTCTTCATAATCATTATTAATCATCATAAATTTCGTAATCCTCGTCAAGAATATTTAAAATAAATTTTCAAAGTAATATTGCAATATTGCAGGTGGCATAATTTTCCGCACTTTTCAGATGGTCGATTGAAAACAAATAGGCCTACCGATAATTTGGACCATTCTCAACTGGAAGATTATTTTTTTTCAATCAACCTTATTGGAGCTCATAAATAAGTTACATTTTATTCACCTTTTTCAATTGTACATTGTGATCATCATTATTATTATCATCCTTGTCATCACTTTCATAATCGTCTTCAAGAATCATCAAGACATTTACCGGTTTTTGTAAAATAAGAGTGCAATTTCCCGTCATCTGGGTGGCATATTTTCATTTTTTTCCCACTTCAGCACCAACCTTCGTGGACTCTAATTACGTCCCCACCCCTCCCGCCTTTCGGCATTTTTCGAATTCTTGTTTTTTTTTTTTTTTTTTTTTGTCTGAAATTCGTAAATAATGCCAACATTTATGCTATAATTTGCGATAGTTCACACCTTTTATAAATATAAAGGTGTCATTTCCGGGCATCCAGGGGAGGGGTGCTATATTATACAATTTTGGGGCTGAGTTGGGTGGAAACTCTAAAACTCTGCCCTTGCTCCTGGATACACCCCTGACTCGCCCTCATAGACCTAGCCGTTTGCTAGTTCAGTTTTATTTTATGAAACATGTCTATTTAAGTTAACAGCATGCTTACTAACTATTATAATAATGCAGGCCCATGATATAAAGTATGTTTAATGTCAGTCAATAGCACTTCATATTATCATTACCGGTATTTTAATATTTTAGTCATAAATACCGTAAATAACCAGTTTATACATTAAGATTCTTACTTTATATTTATTTTTAGTTTGATTTCAATTTCCTGGCTTTTTTTAATTTTAGGGTGCGATTCAACTTACCCCAATCTAGGGTAAATTGCATCGACACTTTTTTTTTTCTTCTAAATGAATTATACATATTTCTTTTTTAAATTAAGGTTTGACCAGTTTCTTGTTGTTAAGTCCCATATTCGTCCCTTTTTAGAATTTTAATAACGTGTGGCTATCCGCCTTCCTTGAAGATGAAAATAGATAGAATTTAGATTAAAATTCGTCACCGGTGAAATAGACATGTTTCATAAAATAAAACTGAATTGGAAAACAGCTATAGAGTCTATTAGGGCAATTCAGTGGCGGATCTAGGATTTTTGAAAAGGGCTGAGTCCCCACCCATCTCAGCCCCAATACTGAATAATATGGCACCCCTCCCCTACATGCCCAGAAATAACACCCTTATATTTATATTTAAAAAAATACCTTTCAAAGTGTCGTGAACTATCGTAAATTATAGCATAAACACCACCCTGGGCGTTTTTAAAGTTTTCCAAATTTAATTCTCTCCCTCTTAAAAACAATCAGGTAAACTCATTATTATTTCCAGTAAATAAGCCTATTATGAGTACTGTTTGCATATTACATACCGGTATTCTTTTTTTCTCGACGTCTGAGATTTGTGGCGACAAAATTAACTTTGTCTTAGAAAAAGCAATTTTGTCGACAAAATCATAATTTTATGGTATATAGAATACATTTTGTCGAAAAAAATTGCATTAGTTGAGAACTATGCTACGTGGTAAATATAGTATGGTGACAAAATAGTTTCTGTTTTACAAAGTAATTGTTGACAAAATCATCATTTTATGGTAACAGAATACATTTTGTCGAAAAAATAGCATTTTTGTCCCAACAAAATGCTAAAATAGCATTTAGCCTCGACGAAATGCTACTTTGTCGACAAAATAGCAAATGTCCCAAACGGCGTCCAGTAATTTAATGGGTTACAAGTCATAGTAGTCCTATCTTTTTTATTGTTAAACATAACTGTATTTTTCTTTTACTACTAAAGCAGTAAAAAGCAAGGGTTCTCTGGTTCCCTCGTCATTGATAAATTTAAAAATATAAATAAAATAAATAATAAATAAATATAATATTTATAAATTTATTATTATCAGTTATTTATATACAGTACTTTTTTTTCGTGGTTTATCAGATTAATGATTTTCTCTTAACGTTCGGCCTCAATAAAAACTTTTGGTTAAACAAAGACTTGGTGAAGAAAGACGCACATTAGAAATTATAAATATGAACATTTAATTTACTATAACTGTATATTTTATTTACAGACTCCTACCAAATACAAAATCTAATACTTATTTAATATGCATATTGAATCTGTCTCTTATACACATCTAGATGTGTATAAGAGACAGGATTCTATTTATATTTATATTACTTAGGTATACATTACCGCAAGACGATTTAGAGTTTATCTCTATTACGTCTTGGTTTATTTATAAAAAAAAAAAAGTCTCTCTTTGGAGATCTCGTCTTGTCATCATGCTCATGCGTATCATATTGATCTCTGTCATTTGCCAATGATCAATGAATAGTGTTGTCTAACTACGCATGTACATGAGTGTAATTATATGCTTTAATCGGATTCGAATTCCCAACAAAGCGTCAATGGCCTATGTGGTTAAGGCGTCTGGGGTAAGAAAATAAGGTAGGTAAGAAGATAAGATAAGATATTTGTGAAGTGTATGAAAAAATACAAGAATAAAGATGATGAAATAAATAAGAACTAGCATGGAGTTTAAATTATAACTCGAATAGTGTGTGGTGGAAGGAGATTGTCGAACGTACAGATCAACATTAATATATTTGCACAATCATATCATAAAATATAATGTGCATCGGAAACAAACACAGACATGGTTGACGTATTTGACAAACATAATTCGTTAAAATAAAAATTATAGGTTTTATTGTTTATTCTGTGAACACTAAAATTACATAAAGGTGATAAACTCTAAACCATCCTGAAGAATGCTATAATAACATACATTTTTGATATTTTCAAAGAAAAAATTTGTGTGTGTAAATTAATTTTTTTTAAATTTCGAGCCCACTACCTTCTGCTGTCTACCAGCCTTAGGCACAATAAAAAAATATTTCTGAAAAAAAAAATTGTTTTGAAAAAAAAAGATTTTTTTTTTCATTTTTTTAAATTAAATAGTTAGTAGATATTGTTTTTATTATCTCAATAATGCTTTACTTAAAATATCAATGCACCAACCCAACCGTGTCTGTTGCTTGATTGAGTATAATTGACTATTTGATTGGTTGGTTGTTGATCAATTTGACAAATACTAAAGAAGAGTAATATACTGGTTGAAAAGATGATTAAATGATTGGTTGTTTGTTTGGTTGGTTGGTTGATTGACTGAACAATATTGATTAATTGATTTATTGATCGATTTATTGACGGATGGATAATGGATAATGATAATGATAACGTGTCTACGTGTTAAATATGAATGTATTGACAGCTGCAAATTAGACATAAAGTAAAGACGAGGAGGTTTGTAATCGGACGCATGTCAGCACGCGATGATGGCAGAGAGGCTGTATCTCCAACTTGAGGGCAAATTCCTCGTCCTGAAAAATCAAACATTTCCAATAATAAGTTTAGCTTACAATAATTGTTCATAGGTTGCTAAGATGCGTATGAATTCGCTTAAGGCATGTTTTTACACAATTCTCTCAATTCTTATTTTCAGTAAACTTTTTACAAGAGCTTCTCGGCCTTTTTTTTTTTTTATCATGTAATGAGTTCCTAGGCCTACCTGGTTGGTTAGTGGCCGTGTCCTCTTTCGACGATGTTCTTGTGTTTGTTGAATCTAATACATGAATCATAAAGTGTACGATACCGGTATATATAATTATAATAATATATCTTTGAATTGCTCATATAAAGAATCATATAAGTTATCGACTTAAAAATAAAATAGGTCAAAGATCATTGAAAGTTTTTAAATGATTTACAGAGTTTTATCATGCCAATCTTTAAATTTACTGCTAGAAATAAAGAGTTCAATGAATAAACAATAGAAACAATATTAAAAAGTCCATAGGCCTTCATTAGGGAAGGCAATTTGTTCTGGTTCTATTTTTAAGAAGATTCAATTTCAATTTTCAATTTCAATTTATTCATAATTTTATTGGCAGAAAAATTACTGAATTACATCAAATTTACAATAATTTATTACAATTAAAAACGTTTCTTTAACACCAAAGGGCCAAACAATAAAACCGATACAATTCAAAACACACTACTAAGAACACTTTTGATTTTAAATTATCAGGTACTGAACGAAGAAATGACATGTAATAAAATAACATAATAACGTATCGAAATACACAAAGTAATCAATTCAATTAAAAAAAAATATTTAGGTTTAGGTTTATTTCTGCCTATTAGAATTATATGGCATATTATAGCTTTAAAATACTGCCACAAATGTAAAAATTTAGATCTGTAATTTGGAGTTGTAGACTATTGTTATTATGTCAGCGTCTGAGCCTGCCAAATTCTGCTTATCGGTAGTTTAAAAACATCTCCTCAGTTTACTGTATTTGTACACATTTCCTTGGTTACAATAGGATTTTTATAGGATTATATATATTTTTCTTATTTTTTTATTTTTTATTTTTTGCAGTTTGTTTCGTAATAAAAGCATTAAAAGTTCCGTATAATGTACAATATCAAATACTATACAGTACATTATATTTAATAACAATCATGGCATAATAATATTCATATTCATAATAATGATAATTTAATTCAATTCAATTTTATTAATAAATCAAAACAATACACTGTAAATTAAAATAAAATGGCGTAGCATAATTAACAATATAGTAATTTGTTCCAGGTGGGCCATAGATTTTAATTTTGCAAAACACTGGCGTTTGATGCATTCCTCCTTTTTTGTGATTTGTCAATTCTGTTTCACAGTTAAACATAGATCTCAATGTTAAGAAAAATGATGGTAGGCCAGTCGATGATACTGATATTAATAATAGTACTAATATTAATATTAAATAAGCAGACATATAATGTCCTACCTACTGCAGTGATAAAGTACATGGGGATGGACTCATCGCTTTCTCCGAAATCGTTGAAAGTTGTAACAGTAATTTTATAACTCCAGTCAGGGTGAAGATTTTCAATGTAATATCCATAAACGAAAGATTTAAATGTAACAATGTCTTTACTTATACGCTTCACTACCTGCTGGCCTTCCTAGTATTAAACAAATATAAAAGGAGCATGTTTTACATGATGAATCACAAAGATGACTACTAAAATTTTTACTGACGCAACTTAGTTAATTAGGCCTAACTCTTGAATTTATATCTGATAATTAGATATTGGATTGTACTATAATTTATATATATATTATATATATATATATACATATATACATATATATATAATTGTATAGGCCTAATCATTGCCATTAAAATCACGAATTCTTAAAAAAAATGAAAAGAAAGAAAGACCATGCATGATGTGCATACAACAAAATATTGTGACGTATTTACCCCTGTGTCCCAAATGTATTGATACTTGATAATGAATCCATTTATTGGAATTGTGTTTCCATTACTTTCTTCTCCTTTACGCGATGCCCTCCATCGCAATAAGTAACGATTCGGCCATTCGCCAACTGATGACCCAACTATGGTAGGCATTATTGGAGTCCCTAAAACAGTTAAGATATAGTATACAGTTATGTAACTTTCATTAATTTGCAAGATTTTGCAAAGTGAGCCATCAATTCGCCCTATGAATTGGTCAACTGATGAGTAGTGATACCATACAACAGCAGCAGGAATATCAGCTACGCACCCCATAGGTGCAAAGATCACATTTTCACTATTAAATTATTTTAACCTGTCGTCCAAAAAAGAGAAAACCACTCACTTAGCCTTAGACTTTCAAGAGATCTTTAATAGTGTTCGGCGAGATAGCCTTCTCAAAGCAATGTGGGATGCTTGTATCAATGGCGTAGATCCCGGGGGATGGGGGATATATCCCCCAATAATAATATCATCCCAATCAATATTTTGACTATGTATGGGATAAAATGGAGCTTTACACACTTCAAAAGACTGTCACAGAAATAATTTTCAATGTCTTATGCGCTTACAAAGATGAAAATTAGCATAATGTATTAATGTTGATAACAAAATTATTTTATCTGTTACCAATCTAAGCTCTTCTTTCCCTAGATGTTTGATGTGTTTGCAAAGCAAGCCACATTTTCACACTGAATGCAATTTATGTCAATTCCAAGAATTTTCAATCATCACCCCCAAAGAAAAATACTTTTCTACGCTACTGGTATCAGAAGAAAGATTTGGAAAAGTATAATTTATATGATGATGTGAAAGCAAAACTGAAAGTTGGGGATATTCTAACTAACCCGTTTGTGGTCAAGAGGTGTTAAACATTGCTGTGTTTGTTTCCTGTAGTATCTTCATCAATGAACGTAATAATAATAATAATAATAATAATAATAATAATAATAATTAAAATAATAATAATAATAAAAATAAAGGTAACTTACACTCTTTTTCTTATTATCATGACAGAGTTAGAGAATAACTTCCATGCGATTATCTTATCATTATTATTATTTTTTATGCCAATTTTCATACAAGTGTTCTAATGCATATAAACCTTGGCAAAATGTGGTATATTCGAACTGATGATGGGAATAGCATCCCCGAAACATGTTTGCTATAA